AGATGCCCATCAGCAGACGAATGGATGAGGAAGCTGTGGTACATATACACCATGGAATATTACTCAGCCATTAAAAAGAATTCATTTGAATCAGTTCTAATGATATGGATGAAACTGGAACCCATTATACAGAGTGAAGTAAGCCAGAAAGATAAAGTCCAATACAGTATACTAATGCATATATATGGAATTTAAAAAGATGGTAATGATAACCCTCTATGCAAAACAGAAAAAGAGACACAGATGTACCGAACAGACTTTGGGACTCTGTGGGAGAAGGCGAGGGTGGGATGTTAAGAGAGAACAGCATTGAAACAAGTATACTATCAAGGTGAAACAGATCACCAGCCCAGGTTGGATGCATGAGACAAGTGCTCAGGGCTGGTGCACTGGGAAGATCCAGAGGGATGGGATAGAGAGGGAGGCAGGAGGGGGGATCGGGATGGGGAACACATGTAAATCTATGGCTGATTCATGTCAATGTATGGCAAAAACCACTACAATATTGTAAAGTAATTAGCCTCCAACTAATAAAAATAAGTGGAAAAATAATAATAAAATAAAACTGTGCCTCCAATAGTGATATGATTGTTTCACATGAAGAAGGAAACCTAGAAATGTGTTGCCTTAGGAGAAAGACTTTAAAACTTTTAAACATATTGTTTTTGTCTTTTTCTCCCTCAGCTGCACTTCAAAAGAAATGGCAAGAGATTGATGAGTCGTTATGAATGTTTCCATTGGACAGCCCTCAGCCTTCACAACTTTTGTGTCGACACTGTGATTCTACCATGAGTTCGTATCTATTCCAAAGGCTTTTTTCCAATAGGTTTTGCACTGCATAAACTATATTCTACTTTTTTATGCCATAGTTTTCCAACTTCACTCAATGATTTCAAGCTCTTGAAAAAGGATTTATTATGTTTATTTAAATGTTATATTACTCACTTTCTTATCCAAATCAGAGGTGCAGGCCACCAATAAAAGCTGTCTCCCAGGTTTTGTGTCTTGAGAGACTTCAGAGCCAAACTCATTTTCTAAGATTTGAGACGAAGTTGTCACAGATGTTTTTTATTGTTCCCAGAATTACATATTACTTTGCAATTTTATCAGGGATTCTGTTTATTTGTAGACTGTGAAGGCGCTGTTTTGTGTCACCACTTCCTTTAACATGACTAGGATCCATTTTTCCACCAAAAAACCTCTGGTTAAAACATTACAGAGAAAAGTGATAGGAAAAACATATAATATCCTATAATTTAAGTAACAACAACAACAAATAGATATATGGTTAAATACAGAAGGACAATATTATATGTTCTAAAAGAGAAGGAAGAGAAATGCTTTCTCAAAATAGGAGCCCTTCTAGGGGATTTGCAGATGAAGGACAGATGTCCTAGACTGTCTTCTAGATAGAGGATTTTATTTTTTTATTTATATTACAAATTGTGGTAAAGTGTATATAGAACATAAAATTTACCATATAACCATTTTAGTCACACAATCCAGTGGCATTAATCACATTCACAGTGTTGTGCAGCCACATTGTCTGGGTAACTTTTGGTAATTATGTTTTTCCTATTCAGTGTGTTATGTTATTTTTGCAGAGTCATTTTGATAAGTTTCATTTTTCTAGGAGGAATCTGTTTCCTGTGAGTTTTGAGCTTGATTGACATAAATTTATTCACAATATCTTATATGTTTAATCTCTGCAGCATCTCTAACTGTGTTCTTTTGGGTTTTTAATTTTCTTTTAACCTTCTTTTTATGAATAATCTTGCATAACTTTTTCCTGTTTTCGAAGAATTCAGCTTTTTGCTTGATTGATGCTCTTTTTTCCCCTAGTCCATCATATCATTCTTTCTTTCCTTCAGCTTTTCCTTAACATAGAGGTTTTTCCTCTAAATTCTTAAATTGAAAAGAGATTAGTAATGTCATCATTTTTCTAATATAAGTATATAAAGCTGACTTTTTTTCCTAAGATCCACTTTAGCTGCAACCTGCAAGTTTTGGTACTCACCACTGTCAATAGCCATAGTATTATGTATTTTCTAATTCCTAATTTAATTCATTAACTATATCTTTTGCCCATGGGTTATTCATAAGTATAATGTTCTCTAAATTTAAAATGCTAATGGATTTTTTCTTTTAGATTGAACCATGTAGAACTGCTAACATTCAATCTTTTTATAAGCTATAAAGTGGCACTTTCATATGGTTCAACATATAGTTGTCTTTTGTTATTAATATATAACTTAATTTCATTTGGTCAGACAACATTAGATTGTGAATTTTAAACCAAAGGTAACCACATTCTCACTAAAGGTCCTTGTTTCTACAGTTTGTATTTTATTGGGCAGTTTTAAAATGTTAACATTTAATGTTAAAATGTTAACTGGTACATGTGTAACCAGTAATTTTTAATAAAAATCCTTCCCAAATACTGGAATGTTTTCTAATACGTGTTGCAGCTGGTTCTCTGGGATGCAGACTCGGATGGAGTTTAGTGCTGGGATGTGTATCAGGGTTGCCCTTGGGGTCAACACTGTGGAATCAGGAGGGAAGAAACAGGGTAAGGCAGAGGGAAGGATCAAGCTGGATCACTGGCCAGACAACCTTAGCTGACTCCATGGGAGTTTGGAGTGACGATGGCCCTTCAGGGTTGTCCTGATGCATCCAAAGACCGGGACTTTATACCTCCACCCAGATGGGTCATTGCATGCAGGCTGCCCCCAGAGGGGCTGGTGGCTTAAGGTTGCCTGCCCACTGGCAGCACTTACAGCTGCCGGACAATGAGTCCCTGAAGGGAGGTCAGGACAGCACATCTCCATGTCCCCCCAGGTATGTATCACAGCTCCAGAGTTAGGTGATGAGGTTGTACTGTCGGGAAGACTCTTGATGACTGATGTTTAAGTTAAAATGATGACTCAGTGATTCTCCTCAATATCCTCTGTTCTAAAAAATAGAGGAGAGGGTCCACGTAGGGGAGATATCATCCTTCTCCAGGGTCAGTCCAGTTGTCACCTCTTCTAGGAAGTCACATTAAGATCAGCCATCATCCTAGGTAACTCGGATTTGTGTATTACCCTGAGCACCTCTCATGTTAAACTGAACCATACTTGGTTAGTGTCCATTGTCACCATCTTGAGATACTTTATTTTTAAACAAGGGGCCTGTTCTTTCTGTTGTGCATGTGGCTTGCCCTGACTGTGAGTGTTCACACGTGGTCTTTTTCTCACAAGACTGAGAAAAAGACTTGAAACTGTCCCCTGTTCACTGTTTAATTATGTCTTCCAGCAGAGTATCTGTACATAGAGGGTGCTCAGAAAATGTTTGTTGAATGAACAAATGATGACTGAGAGCAAACCTTCCTTCTCAATTTTATAACTTTGAGATATTAAGGGGTAGCCTGGGATAACAGAAAGCCCTGGTTTTGGAGTCAGTCACGCTGCTCTGTCCTTTCTATACTACTCACTAGCAGTGTGGGTGTGGGAAAGCAGTAACCAGCCAAGGTGCCAGGACATTTGAATGGCACCATCCTTGACAAAATAGGCTCTGGACATCCTATAGCCACGTAGTCTTAGTTGCATGCTTGGGTAAGCATCTCAACCTCTGAATCTCAGCTTCTTTGTCTGGAAAATGAATATAGTTCCTACTCTTGAACCATTGCTTTGGTTGGGATGATGGAAGACCTAAGAGCATCCAATAACACAGGGTGGAATCACTGACCTTGGTGAATCTTATCACTAGGACAGGAGAACAGGATGGGTGTGGATGAAGGAGGTTTGTAGGCTGTAGAAGGTGTACTTGAGGAGATCCTCATCTCATGGCCTAAACCAGACTGTTCTTCCTCCACGTGTAGTTGAAATGACATAAGCACATGGGGAGAAGCACAAGCTCTGGAGTCAGGGACAAACACTGGCTCCTCTGGGCACTGACTGGATTTGCACACAAATTCTGCTACCTGGTAAGTGTGGGCTCTTAAGGTTGGGAAGCCCACTGGGCTTCAGTGTCTTTGTCTGAAAGTTGAGGTGGGGATAGTGTGATTCTCAGAGGGCTGCTGCCAAGATTAACTAGGACAGTGACACAGTGTGGTCTGTGCAGTAGTGTCAGTCCATGACCTGTTTGTAACCCGGTTAGAAATAAGTACAGGAAATTCAAGAAAGCTAGAAACTCACAACCATCTGTATTGCTGTGACATCCACCCTCAGGATGGGTGGGATCCTGAACACCCTGGGGACCAGTGTGAGTGTTGCACTTGTGGGTGGGGGAGGGGCACATGGCTGAGCTGCACACTAGCCATGCACAGTGGATCATTGATTAGGTTGCAATGGGGTGAAAATGGAAAATTAAATAAAACTGATATTTAATCCCAGACAGGTGAGAAACACTGCTTTTGAACAATGTTGGATATGTGATTATCTGTCAATCAGTACTATCCTCCCCAGCCCTATCCTCTTTATTAATTGTTACCATCATATTTATCTTAAAAGTAGACCACATAGGCTTTCAAAAGGCCCTACTATACATTATCAATGTTTTAATAGCATTAAAAAGTTAGAAATAATTAAATTACTGTTCAAGTTTAAAGGTTTTTTTTTTTTTTTAAGTCTAAAAGCAATACTGTGCATATATTTTACCTATTCTATTCTTAAATCATCAGCATGGTCCTAATGTTGAAGAAGGTCCCTGGAAGCACAACAGCCCACTTTAAAACCTTCAGAATTTTTTTAAACACAAGGTTTTAAGTGTAAGCTGTTAATTTTCCTTTAAAAACTGAGCTTTTGTTTTTTAAACCTAATGTTCTAAGAAGAGTGTTTCTTTTTTCCAAAAACTAAAACAGCAATGTGTGTTGGAAACTGTGAGAAATATATATTTATTTGAATTTAGACCTAAAAAATAACATTAGAAGGAATCGCATGCCCCAGCCCTGTGAGACCTCCATCTGTACTCCAGGCCCATCTGACTTGCCTTAGGAGTCAAACTGCGATTGTGTGATTTTTTAATAAGAACCAAGGTTAAGACTTAGATACACTAGGAATGTTCTACAAGAAGCTTACATTGGATAGTCCTTACTAAATTCACTCTTTCACTCAGCAAACATGCTCACAAGTATCCGTCCCAATAGGTGGAAGCTTTGGGTATTCCAAACCAGTGTTTGATCCAAAAGCTTATCATATTTAATTCTGGGGGATGTTACAGGAAAAACGTTTTTAAAAGGAAAATTTTCAGATTATCTACACAAAAAATTAGTCTCTGAGATGGAGTTTTTATCACATTAGAAATGTCATAAGTAAATAACGATAAACAGAGGACTGAGGGCTTTTAACCCCTACATTTTACAACACTAAAAAATTTTTAAAAATCCATGAGTTTATACTGATTCCTATAAGACATAAAATAGATAGTAGGAAGAGAAAGCCCTTTTTCTGCAGTAGAAGGTCAACTCACAAATGTAGACAGATTGACATAAAATTACCATATAGCAGCCATTCTTGTCATAAATAATTCAGACAAAATTCATTATTGTCTGAATATATGGTGAATGTTCATGGGTTGGGGGAGACACAGCATTTACATGGACTCAAAGTATCTTCTCAGATGAATTCTTCAGGGAAGAATTGTATTTTCAAAGTGGAAAAATCTGGCAAACACCTGGCTAAGCAAGTAACCAGAGTAAATATTATTAATAGTGAACCTACTGACACCCTTGATGTTTTTTTTCTTGTTTCTTTAAAAATTTATTTAAGTATCATTGATTTACAATGTCTTAATTTCTGCTGTGCAGCAGTGATTCAGTTATACATATACATACATTCTTTTTCATGTAAGTTAAATAAGCAGGTGACAATATACAGGTCATACTCCTTTCCCAATTTTGACCCAGGCAGTTGTTCCATGTCTGGTTCTAACTGTTGCTTCTTGACCTGCGTACAGGTTTCTCAGGAGACAGGTAAGGTGGTCTTTAAGTTTTCCAGTTTGTTGTGATCTACAAAGGCTTTAGCATAGTCAATGAAGCAGAAGTAGATGTTTTTCTGAGCAGAAACCATAAGACCTACAATGTCTGTAAATGTACTTCCTGGTCTTTTACAGGAAAACTCTGCCCACCCTGCCCCGGAACTCTGCTGTTCTAAGTGTGGCCTGTGGACCAGCAGCATCAGCTGGCCTGGAAGGCAGTTAGGACACGGAATCTTGCCTCTATCCCAGACCTACTGACAGATCCCAGATGAGTCCTGCTCACAGAATAGTCAGAGAAGCTCTGGTTTAGAGGCTCTGCTCAGGTCATCCTGTGGTTGCACCCTCCCCCAGGTGCATGCAGCCAGAGAGGACCAGGGGGTGTGGCCACCTGGAGCCCCGCACCCTTCAGGCCGTGATCTGAGCACCTGGACCCTAGAATCCCTGCTCCCAGCAGCGCCAGTGCAGGCCTCCATCCTGGGGCCCATGTCCTAGCCCGACAGGTGATCAAGGTACAGCTGTTTATGGGTGGGAAGTGGGTGGCCTGAGCTTGGATTTGAAGGCTGGGTAAATGTGCTCTTGCTTGAGCAGCAGATTCCTCAGGGCACAGAGAGGCTCAGAGCCAGAGGTGGGGAGAGCGGGGGTGCTGGGGGCTGGGGCGGCCCCTCCCTCTGCTGTCTTGCCTTCTGGCTTAGAGCTCAGTGTCCAAAACCCCAGTCTGCCGGGTTTTAATAGTTAGGAAAGTGTACTTGACAGTTTTGTTTGATTGATTTATAACTTCTAAATATTTAAAAATGCACTGTGGCCTTCGTCTGTACTCTTGACCAGGGCCCACAGATGAGAGTGGCAGGTCTATTAAATGTTTCTCAAAGTATTCACAGGACCCCCTGCATCCCAATCCCCCAATCCACTGGGATGTTTGATAAAAATTCAAGTTCCCAGGCCCTATTGCGTGACCTCCTGGATCAGATCTTTGGGAATGGAGCCTAGGACTCTGCTCTCTGACCCCCTTCCCTGGTGACTCTGATCCACAGCAGAGCTACAGGAGCACTTGTAATTGGGGGAGAGAGGAATGTAGAGTGGAGCTGCCATAAGTGGCAGGAAGTGCCAGGGAGAGAGGGAGGTTCCAGGTCACAGGAAGGTGCTGACCATGAGCTCACACCCTTCCTGCTTCTCTCTTGTTTCTGCTCACAGCCTGGCCTGACCCCACCCCCGGGAGTTGGCTGCAGGGAGAAGCTGCTAGAACAGGGCAAGGGTGTCCTCCTGCCGACAGTGGGGCTCTCGGGGGCTGCCCTGCAGAAGCAAGGACCCGAGTCAGGGGCAGTAGGAGCAAAGGGGCTGCAGACTCCTGGAGGGACCACACGGACTCACCCGGAAAGTCAGGCTGAAGCTGCTGAACAGGTCTTTGGACCGGGAGACCTCCGGGTCCTGCCAGGACACGGGAGTTGCTGGGAGAGACTGTGCGGTCCCACCTGCCAGGGCTCAGAGGCTGCA